GCATATAAAACTAGTCCTCAGATGCCTGTTTTGCCTTCAGTGTAAGTATGTAGTGAGGGTGTGCCTGTAGAGCCTTTCTCTTTCTATTTTTCCAGACTTGTGATTTCCTTTCCTATGCTCTTAACAAACAGGTAAGCATGACAGGTTCTATCCAAAAGCAGACGTGCAACTGAGTTAGCATCACCCTGAATGCAAGCTGGGGAGTCCAGGATTGCTCCTCAGCTTTTCTCTTTACACTGGCATGACATAGACATGGGTACCATGTGCGCCCCATTTCTCTCGTGTTCCATCATTCACACACGCATGTACTGCATACAAAACTCTCCTGCTCTCAGCTTACAACACTCTACCATGCAAAGCTCACATCAGGAATACTGAAAATCATTTACTGTTATCTTAACCAAAGGCAGGGCCGTAGAAGACTTGGTTCTTCTCTTGGACAGAATCATATTCAGAGCAAACAAAGGCTGAGTTTTCAAAGAAAATTTTAAGTACTTTTGTACTCCCCCATTTCTGGTCAGCTAGATGCAGGTGGGAACAGGCTGGCAGGGAGTGGTGTTGTTTCCCCACTGTATAAACATTCCCACAGCAGTGCTTCACTGCTTGGGTCATTTCCTCCCTAGCAGTATGGAAAATGCAACCACCTACCTTCACACTCTTGGAATCATGGTGTCCACCCCATCTCCTGAAGCAGCTGGAGACTACACCTTTAAATTTGAAAATACTTGGTATGGATAACATCTTTTAAAAAAACAAAACAAAACCAAAACAATCAGTGCCTTAACATCAGAACAGTGAAGACAGAACCATCTTCTTACCTGCTTTCTAAATGGATGTAAAACAAGCAAGTGAAAGCATATGCACATACAATTCTTGATCTTTGCCTGGGCAAAGATACAAACTTAAAGAAATCATTACACTAATGATACACAGTGATACTTTTGTTTCCTGCTGCAAGGTTGGCTATAAAAAGTGTAGGAGCTCATGCCATCAGTGCCACCCTACTAAACTTGGCCACGATTTCAAGCTTGCTATCATGTTAATCTTTCTGTGATGCCAACAACCATACCAGTACCCACACATTCCTCTAAAGTAAGAGTCCTCTACAAAAGAGGAGGAAGGCAAAGAAAAGGTCACAAAATAAAGTGTGTACTAATGATATTTTTCTTTCATTAGATATTTGTCATGCATAATGTTTTTTGAGTCCTATTTTGCCATGAATTAAAGCACAGCATTCCTACATTGTTGATTATCATTAATTTCCAAAAGTAATGCCAGAAAAATATCAGAGTTCAACATAATATAATTGAATTTACATTCATGAGTGTTGTTTAGAACACACATATTTCTTGAATTACTACCTTGTTTTATAGGCAATGCTGTTTGGTTTTAAATTCTATTTCACTAAAGTTAATTCTAATTCTTTCAGTTCCTAGTGCTTCCTATCTCATTAAGAATGTAAAGCCATCTCTCTGTATACAGACTTGCAGGCATGATGAGGTGGATTCAAAGTTAATGAATCTTCCTCTTACTTTTAACCCTGAGTATGGCCATGACCTTCTCCTCCTACATTGTTGAATTATAATGAGGTTGGGGGTGGTTTAATCTATTGATCCTATTGCCCATGACAGCACTGCTATATTATTAATTGCAGACACAGACTACGTGCGCATACTTATCCCTTACTTCAAAAAGTGATACTTTGCAATCTTTATGTAACAGAGCCATGTTCAGCATCTAATTATCCCAGCTTAGGCTTCCTAACTAGAGTATGTTCTTAATTTGTTGTGGACTGCTAGTCACCATAAGAGCAATATATACTACACTACAAGGCATTCATAACATAGCTGAATTTTAGGCATCAAATGTATTATGAGTATGTTACAGAGGTTTAAGAACCACTACTGAGTGCAATAACAGTCCCAGGACTCTCTTAGTCCTGGTTTTCAAGATACACTATAGTGTAAAGGCTATCCAGTGGTGTTCAGAATAATTTTTTCTGCTTTGCTGTATGAGTGGGTTTAGAGCATACCCACAGCTGCAAGCTGGCAAAATAAAAGTGGTCAGAAATGTCTACAGTAACTGAGGCTAACTAGTACAGAATAGCCTATGCCTGCACTAATGATTCTCCAGTGCCTCCAAAAGAGGTTGACTATGTGCATGTGACCTCTTTGTGGCAATGTTCATTCAGTGTTAATTTCTGAACAGTACCTAGGAATTATTTGGAAAAACATTACTTGGTACATGCTAATAGCACAGTTCTAGCACTAGAAGACAATATTTCTATGCCCAGGTACTCCTCAGGTACCTTATCATTTGCTTGCATCAAGACAGCCATAGTGGACCAGTTAAGCTGCTGTAATATAATCAGTTGAGGTTTTAGAATACAGAGTGACCTTTACTGAAACTACGTCATTTAAAAAATGATCGGAATTTGCCCCACATTCTTAATTATATTTATGGCACTGAGATAATTTGTTGGGTAACAATCAGTTCACACTCAGATTTTTAACCAAATGTGTGTAGTTGCTGTTGTTTCCCAAAGGATAGTACACCAGATAGATTGATAGATAGATAGATAGATAGATAGATAGATAGATAGATAGATAGATAGAGATGGACTGTAGGAACTTAAAAACCAATTATAGTGTATAAATTACCATGCATGTATAGATTTGATCCTGTCTTAGGAAAGATGTAGATCTCTAAGAGTGCCATGGAAGAAAAGTGCAAGAATGATACACATCCTCAGATAACTGAGCTGAATTGAAGGGATTCTGTTCTGTTTCACCCTGGGCACATAGAAAGGATGTGCTTTGTCCTGTTCTGGAAGAAGTAAACAGAGAGATAAAGAGAGTTGTGTGTGATTATAGAAGGGCAGGGAAAAAAAGACTTTCAATCCTGAGCAATGCCAAGGAAATGGAAAGAAAGCCTTTTATTTTTTTTTTTTTTTCTGAAATTCCTGCTGCAAGTTAGGAAGAAGATGTGGTGAAGAGCTGAAAGTATTGGCTTAACTTCCTGACCTTGCACTAGATATGCCTGAGCAATAAAACCTGCAATATTCAGCAAGTTAAGATTTTAGCTGGTAATACCCAGACTCTGCATGTGAAAAGAGCACATAGGTTCCATGTCAGCCAAAGATTCCCAGGGATTTGCCTCTCAGATGAAGCCTGTAATTTATGTTTGGTGAGACAGATCTTTCAGCTGTTCTAAATCAAAACACCTACATGATTCAAAGCACATGAGGCTCTAGTCCAAATTTTGTATAGACAATTTCTGTTATGCCGTAAGGATTATGGGGCTGTTTTTTCTTGCAAATTCTGTGAGCATATTTTGGAATAACTGCAGTGAATGTAAAAGCTTTTCTTCATTGAATGAGAAGTGAATTAGCTCCAAAATTTGTGTGACAAATATATAAATGACAGACCATGTTGTGCTGTCATTGTCAAGTTTAAAACCCAGCAGGCATATATTTAAGTCCATTGATAAATGTGTTAAATTGAGCACATCATCATGTTAAATACACTATAAATTTGCGGCTAAATCACAATAAATTTACTCAAGTCTTTCTTTTTAGTACTTTTCCAGAGGAAAAAACACTGATTATTCAATTCAATTGAATATTAAAAAGTCAGTTTAAATTTAAATTGCTGCTAAAATATTGAGAACATTGAAAGAAACAAGCTTTTTCTAAGCAGAAAAGCAAAGCAAGAAAACTATATAATACTCTTGAAAATGTGCTGAGAGGTTACAGTTTTTAAGAATTCAGCAAGGAGTTGTCACGTCTGTGAAAGATTTTTATGTTTCCTTAATAAGAGTGTTAAAAACTGGTGTTTTCCCGTGGTGTATCTTTTGCAACCATTGTACTGCTTACAGCTACTGTTTCTCTCTGTACAAGGTGAAAAAATTTCTAGAGTGGCACAGTCCAGGTGGATATTTGCAGCTTAATCCATCTAACTCCAGGATACTTCTGCCCAGCTCTTCAACCTCTCCTCAAAGGGGTGGTTATTCAAGTAATGCAAGTACTCCTAGAGATATATTCAAAAATCTCCCAGCACAGCAAGGCAAGAGGGCAAGTCTCTGTAACTGTGGGAAAGCAGGTTTGTCCTGCACCTCCATGTGCTCTACATTTAGATTTGCTTCTGGAGCAAGCCAGCCCAGAGACACATCTCTCATCTGGAATACAGCCCCAGTGCTGACAAATTCCAGGCTACTGCCTAAAATGTAATTATCTCTGATATGTATAACTGAAAGTCTGGAAGAAGACACTTTGAATGCTGCTTTCCAAGATGCTTGTGAAGTGCTGGTATGAGAAATTGGACCCAATAAAATAAGAGGGGAAGGCTAAAATCGAAGTGATAGACATTTATTAGCCATTTGTGGAAAGTGTTTGTCATCATGCATGCTAAGTGGCGATAATGATGTGATGTGATTGTGTGGTGACTCAGAGCTGACTCCAGAAGGCTGCAGTAGTTGCTGTGCTTCCAGCCATCCTCTTCCCTACTGCTATGGGAAGCTGTGCCAGTTTTGCCCATTCTGCCCAAGATAGAAGCCTGGAGGCTGTGGAGGAAAAGCCGGCAGACTGTCATGACTGCCTTCTTTTTGTATTCCCCTTTTACTCTCATGGCAATAACTCCCTCCAGTGACTGGAGGAGCAAAGGCAGCTGAGATATTTTTACAGGAAATCAACATTGCTGCATAGGTCTTACCTAGAGCACCTGCAAGAAGTGGCTACCTTTCCTTTACTTGTGACTCAACAGATGGTGACTTGGCTGGGTCACTCACCCTTCTACCATAGGCAAGCTGAGGAAGGTAGCTTCAGGGGTTCAGGGAAAGTAGAAAGATTTTTATTAGATGCTGTTATTCACTGTAAGGTGGGGTCTGCTTTAAATATGACAGACAGCTCTTTCAAAACAGCTGGAGGTGGAGAGGAAGGTGGAGGAGTACAGGATGAGCTTCTTTCTTCAACAAGAGAGAGGGAGGTGCATGACACTGAATCATATCTACACTCTTTTGTATTGAAAAATAGACTAAGGAGAGGCTCTGCTACTGACACAGGCCTTCAGCCAGCAGATGCCTGTGGATGTTTAGAGACCATGAAACCACCTCCTGTGACTTGCTGCCATTAGGAGCCTCTCATGAAGCACTTCTGCTGGGTATGTCTGTGTTACATTTTTTTGCTTATTTCAGATTTAGGAATTGAGGCCAGTGAAGAGAAGCTGCACTTTAATAGGCCTGGGGTATATAGGGCTGCTTCACAGCTTTGGCACATGGCACCTCAGCATCACAGAGTCTCTAGAGTGGTGCTTTTCCCTACTTTTCTCCCCAAACCCTTTTGATTTAGTAATTAGATTTGGAAATTTTTATCCTTCATATTTAATTTTTGTAGAAATAATCATGAACCAACACAACACTATATCTAACTCTGCCAAGTGGCTGTTGGAGGTGCCTACCAGTTCATTTCTGCCTTCATCCTCCCTCTCCAACCTGATTTCATGCTTTGCTGCTTTTGCTGCTGGAGGAGGTCGGGAATAGCATTAACCTGTGAGTTGTTTTTGATGGTAAAACTGATGCATTATTTAAAGGAGAGATGGCTGGTGTCAATCACCAAGTCACATCTGATTAAGGGTTTTATGCTCATATTTAGTTACAACATGTTGATAAGTGGTTTTTGACCTTTGGGAGGATGCAAGTTTTTCTGTTAACAGTATTTAGCAATAGGCTGAAGTTTTCTTTACCATCATCTCATCTCAGGGAAGTCTTTACATTTGCTAAGGTAATTATTTAACATAAAAATCTTCAGTGAATAAAATCCCAAAAAATCCCAAAGCAAACTTTTTTATATTGTGGACTAGTGTAACCTCAAAGGATCAAAAGGATCTATACCAAAAAGGATCTTTCGGAGGGAAGGCTTGTAGTCACGAGCTGGGGTATAATGACAAATTAACTCAAAATACATGTGAATTTTATATTGATATTCTGAGAATACATCTCTCCATCTCTCACTTCAGCCCCTGAATGCTGCCTATTAAACTTCTCTGATTGTCTTGGGAAAGCTGATAGCGCTTGATTCTCTTCCAAGGCCTAATGCAAGGGCTGCAGCAAGGGACGAGAATGGACAGCATGGTTCCAAATGGTGTTCTGGTTGATGTGGACATGGGTAGCCTAAAAGGGGCTGTAGAGTCAAGAGGACACAGTTACATTACTGAAATCACAACAGACATTTTGCCTGATGAGCTCTGCACTGAAAGGGATGAAATCATGAATGCCACACAGATCCTTCACTTCCTAGGCCTTGCATATACAATTATCTTTCTTAATACATTTCTTTCACTTGCTTTACTGACCTCTGCTTCTGTTTTCCTGAGAAAAGTTTTATTGATTACAAACACCAAAATTTCAAATAGATAGTTTTTGTGGAGGGAGATGAAGGTTAAATAAAGCTTGCTTATATCTTTATTACAAGGGAACAAGAATACTGCATTTGTGAATACAGAATGCTCATCCAATTATTTAAAATCAAACAACTTTTTTTCAAGATGATAAAATGTAATTTCTCTATTTTTTTTCCACAGTAGAATTCTGCAGACTTCAGTGGAATTATTCTAGTTTATGGTTACCTAAATTTGGAAAGAACAAGACATCCCTTTTTAATTCTTCATTCTTTCTTTTCTGATATTTGATTCTCACACTCTTTTTCAGTGCATACTGAGGATGAAGGAGATCTGTTGTGGTGTGTAACAAATTCTGTGCAATCTCTGCTGTTTGTCTGAAAGCTTGCTGAATACAGCTCTGTAATGTCAAATGTCTTTGATTTGATTTGAACTGGACCAGATGTCAACAAATTGGAATATAATGTTGTTGAGATAGAGGACAATGTAGGAAGCATAAAGGGTTTCATTACAAATTACAATTAAAGAAAACATTCAGATGCAGTTGTGCATTTTTTATATACTGCAACTTAGAGCAATTAGGAAAAAAATCAGAAATCCTGTTTTTCTCTCATTCCTTATGAAGAAGTGAATGGGAATTTAGGACTTGTATCATGATCATTGTGGCGTTTTTTTTTTTGTTTTCATCATAATTTTTTATTTTTAAAATAACAATTTGTAGTATATAAGGTGACATTCTTCTTTAGCACTTTTAAATTATACATGCTTTGTTAGTCTGGTAGAATATTAGACAAACTTGACAAAAGGCCAGTGTTATGGAGCAAAAACCAGCCTTTATTATAGTTTCAGACTGATCTGAAATAGTATGCATAAATTTGGCAATGATCCTTGCTTTCTTCATGCTGCCAGCAGCAAATATATAAACAACAGCATTTTACAGGCAGAAGTGATCGTAAAGCAAGTTCTAAAAGTCAGAAATGCACAGAAATTAACTGTTTAGACTGCTTGTGTGAGCATTTGCCAGATGATGATTGCCTGTTGCTTAAATATCTAGTAGAAAATACAGAGGAACAATGAAGAGGGAGAACTTCCACTGCAACATAGCATCTGCTTCTCTGCAGGAGAAAGCTCCTTATCTCCAGGTTGTATGTGGTGGAACAAAGGTTTCTTTTTATAGTTCTAACTTACCTGTAGCATACGTACCTGGGACCTCAGAGACACCTTTCTTCTGCCCACCAGATGTGTCCACTGATTTTCTTTAGTAGAGGAGGTGGTCTGGCTTTCAGGAAAATGGTTGTAATGGGATGTGATATTGACTGGTAAGTCTTAGGAAATTTGAAGGAGTCAGGAAGGGACTGAGACCAGTTTTCTTCAATCCTGAATGGACATGTCTCCATCCTGATGCAGGCAGTGTGGTGGGAATGGAGAAAGAAAGACTCCAAAGAGTGGTTTCATATGCAACTGTATAAATATTTCTAGAGGGGGTTTTTGTTGGTTTTGATTTGGTTTTCTTGTTTGTTTGTTTCTTTGGGGGGTGTGGTGGGGTGTTTGGTTTGGTGGGTTTTTTTTGGTGTTTGGGTGGTTGGTTTTGGTTTTTGTTTTCTTTATTTCTGCAAAGCTGTAAATACTTCAAATTGCATTCGTTCTGCACACTGTGTTAAATGCCTAAGGTTCTATGCCTATTTTTGCTGAATTTAGACCGGAACCTTTCTGGAGCCTAGCCTTAAAAAAATAAGAAATTCAGATTATCTATGTTGCACCCCATTGATGTTGAGAGAGTTTATAAGAAATATTGCTCCTTGGTGGAGATCTCCATGGATCTTTGTATGTCTTCAAGAAAATTATTTTACTGGAAGAACACCTAATTCTTCACTTTGTTTTGTTTTAGATGACTGAAACAGACATTGGCCAATTATAATTTTGAGATTTGTGCATCTTCTAATTTTAACTAAATATTGCAAAGCAGTTGATAAATCCTTTAATAACTTTGTCAAGAACAAATATGTCTAAAAGTGGTTTTCATCAAATTTTTATGTGAAGTAATGGATAAGATTAGTTTATAAGTAAAAATCTTCCTGATTTCCATAAAATGCTCATTTATCAATAGTAGGTTTTTCTCTACTGGCATTATGTCTAGTTCTTCTGTTTTCTAAAAATACAAATCTGGCCTGAGAATGATCTTAAAAGTTGACTAGAATAGTAATAGTACCTATTAAATGTCTCTGGTCTGGTAGAATCCACTGTAGATTGATTTCATATCAGACATAAGTAATAAAATCACATAAGTGATAAAATCACATAAGTGACATTTTTGAGATTAAACTTCTTGAAGTGCATAACTTTATTCAGTGACTGTGATCCTGAATTTAGGAGCTGCAATGCTTGATTTTGCAAGAAAGAACAGTTCTTCTGATGATCCACAGCTAATTTTCTTCCTCCTCAATCTTTTTTATTATTATGTTAAATATAACCAAAATGTCTATCTTGATGTAACTAATTTGATAGATAATGTTCAAATGATTTAAAGCATATTCTCTCAGTACCAAGGTACAATAGCACCACAATTTTTCTTGCCAATTCAAACCAAAGCTTTAATTCTGTCTTTCAGATTCCCTTTTTTTCTTTACCTTCCTTTTATCACATCCCCAATGTTTTAGAGTAAAATAAAAAGCACGTGCTTTATTATTGTTATGATTATTATGATTATTATTTATCTCATGTACATAGAGGAGCAAGCAGGATAGAAAATACTATAAAGAGTACAAATAGAGAGAAATCTACAAATGAGGCTTCATATATACTTCAGAAGAGTGAATGGCTAAGAAATATCATTTGAAAGGAAGGACACATGGCAGTGGAATCTATTGCTACAATTTAATGTTATTCCTTCTCGTGATTGAAGCAAAGGGCAGACTATTACCTACCTTTTTGTAAGAGTCTCACAAATCTGCTCCACTTTATCAATCCCAGGATGATGTTGTGCTTTGGTAACAGCAAAACATTGGTAACTCATGTTAGCTGTTATCTTTTCCACTCTTCAGCTTCTTTTCTGAGAACGTATGGAATCACAAGATAAATTCATCAGGAAGGGATGTTGAGATGTGGGTGTTCAGTCCAACCTCCTGCTCATGGCAGGGTCAGCTGTGTGCTCACCAGGTTGCTCAGTTTTACTGAGTTGCTCTGCTCATTATATCTCACCCTCCTGATGCAAAGAGTCTTACTCCATCCTCTCACTTATTTTCCCAGAGATGCAGGTGAGCTACAGAAAGGAACCCCAAACAGGAAAGGAACCATCTCTGCTGCAGGCTGAACCAGCCTTGCTTTCTGAGTTTGCCCTCACAGGGTGAGTGCTCTGACCTGACCATCTTGGTGGCCCTCCACTAAATCCATGCTAGTTTATTTATGTCTTTCCTGTACTGGGAAGCACAAAATTAAATGCAGTACTGTAGAAGCAGTACAAGGAATGTTGTGTAAAGGCAGATGATTACTTTGCTCCATCTCTTCTAGTCACACAGCCAAGAATATTGTTGTTCCTCTTTGCTGCCAAGGCACATTGCTGGCTCCTGCTTACTCTGTGTCTGCCAACATACCTTATGTCTTGCCAGCAGTGCTGCTCTCCTCAGTCAAGCCCAGCTGGCAGAACTGCAAGGAGCTCTTACTTTACAGGTGAAGATCCTTGCACTTGTCCTGTTGTCTCCATCTTTAGTTTGTGCTAAATTCAAGGGTGTTTATAAAACACACCTGAATGACTCAAAGAAATCCTC